ATTGAGCATGATCTATGTAGGATATAGAATTTTTATGATATACTGTATGACTTTGCTACACGCATGGCTCTTAAAGTAATTCTGTACGAAGTAAAGTATGACTAAATGCAAAGATGAATTTATTTTCTAATACAAACTCTTAATTTTTATGTATTATCCGTATCCCTACCCAAACCTGGCCCTGTGAAATCCGTTGAGTCCGGCCCTACTATTTAATGACGGGTGAATACAGAGTAGATTACTTGTTCTCCACCCCCCCCCCTTTTTTTTTCACCACTAAAGTTACTTAGGGTAGAAATAAATAAAAGAGTGATCCTTCTATGACTTCTTGGTCACAATGGTTAAGTCTGGCCCTGCTATTCAATGATGGGTGAATACTTCTTGTTCTCCCCCACCCTCTTTATTTTTTCATGGGGTAACTCTAGTCCGACCTGCAAAAATAAAAGAGTGATCTTTCCTTTACTCCTTGGTGTCCAAACTGTTGAGCCATGAAAAAAATTATATGCATAAATATTTTCTCAAAACAAAAAGCATGTTTAATAATATGAGAAAGTTTTTTTGGGGGATAAATGAACATCCTTTAAGTATCAAATCAAGTTCAGAAAAATGTTTGTACATCCAGAAAACTATCACTCCACACATCTAAGATAATTTACCTTGTATCACAAAGATTACCAAAAGTCACATTTCAGATATAGAACAAAGTCCACAAAAATATAATCATAGAAATCTTGATTTAACAATCTCTCCAGGTGTTTTCTTCCTGTTTTGCTGGTGTGTACAATGAGTTCTTATTGAAAGACACTGGGGCTGATGTCCACATCATGATGGCCAATGTTTTTATGTACTTAAACTCCATCATTTGCAATGTATTAATTTTAGCATTTAGAGGTGAGATTTTTATTAAGTTGATTTAAAGTTAGGCATGTCTTTTATAGATTCTATTACATTTAGGAATAAGCTGCTTTGTACGTATTACATATAAATCTTCAATTCATATTGCAAAACTTTTTTTTAATTTAAATTCATATTTTTCTATTGTTTTTTTAAATTTTCAAATAACAAGGTTTTGACTCAATGTTTATAAATATGGCCAATTGATAAGAAAAAAAAAAGTTTTTTTTTTTTAAAAGATTCAAACTGTTACCTCCTATCTCGAAAACTGGCATACAGAGTTCTATTTGAATTTAAGACATTTAGCTATGTAATGTACATTTCATTCAATGTTTCTGGGCCACACAGCATTATAGGGTGAAAGTAGATTCTTGGTGGTTTTGTTAATCAGCTGGCGCTTACTTCACTATCTGCATTAATTTTGAGTTTTTAAATTTAAAAAAAGGATTGTAATTAGTCTATTTTTTTTCTCACTATTTAGGAGAATTTATCCCAGCATTCTACTCTGAAAGTGTGATGTCAATCCTGCAGGTTAAAGTTTTAGCCATCATTATCAACAACGCTGCCATAGGCATTGTCACCAGCTTGTTCTTGCGCAGCCTCAACTCCATACTAAAGACATTTGCCAGCGCTCTGGAGCTTATGTTTACAGCTGTGCTGTGCTGGATGATTTTCGGCATTCCTGTCGATCTGTACACAGTTCTGGCCATTTTCATTGTGAGTGCAGCCACGTACCTTTATGCACAGAATCCAGTGGTCAATAAGGCCCGTACAGATATAGATGTGAATGCCAGCAAAGACCATGGCAAGGGTAACAATTTTTCTCAGGAAGGGTCAGCACAGCTGTCGCCAGGACTTCGGCACAAACCTTTGATATCTGTTTGAATTGTTAACTCTTATATTGGTATGTTGTTCTTCCACTAACAGTCGATTTTATGTGTTATGAGGAAGTGTGCTTGTAGAGTTAAAATCTCACAGGATTATTTAGAAATAGAAATTTATGTTCGGTGATATATATATATATCTTGCTTTCATTTATGTTGTCTAGTTTTTTTTAGTTTTTTTACACAAGAAAAAGTAGCTTTTATAATTATTATTTCTCATTAATATTGTAGTGATATCATCATAATGTTTTTTTAAATGATCATACTAGAAATTTGGTAAAAAGTAATTATTTAACTTTTCCTCAGTTTTAGTGTTTTTTCATTTTTAAGTAAGTGTTACAGTACTGCATAATCTTGCAGGCTTTTTCAACATTTTTTTTTAGTTCACGTTCTAAAGACTGTCTTTGAACACACATTTTTGACTGCCGTTTATTTGCATATTTGAATTATTTATTAAGTTTCAAGTAAATGACCTGTGTTTGTTTTATCACATTGAATCTTTGGGGGAAAGTTCTATTATTTTGTTATGTAATGGGAGTGGGTGTGAGATGGGTGCAGTGATCATTTGTTATTTCCATCCCTTCAACCATTGGAAAGAGCTCTAAGCTGATTCATTGAAGACATTCATTTAAATTTTACATTAAAAAAAAAATGACTGCTGATTATTTTGCTTACCATGTAATTTTTTTTTTCACTTCTTTTGAAAAATCTGAAACAATTATAAAATTAATCTGCATTTTGTTTTTATTGTCAGGTCTAATAACTTTTGGATAAAAAGTCTTTTTGTCTTTGGAATTGTAACTGAATCATAGGAAGATTTTTTTACATGATACCATATCCATTTACAGAGTTTATTTAATAAATAATCACATTTAAGTAGTTATCTAATGAACTTCAAATCTAATTTGTTGTCATTTTGTTCAAACCCGGTACATTATTTATTGCTTTCTAAGTAATGTGATAGCAGGAATGAAAATTCATAATTATTAGTTTTAGGAAAAGGAAATTAAAAAAGTTGTATCCAAACTAATGTTATATAATTTGAGTTAATGGGTCATCATAGCGCTATTGTTAATGCTAAGAAGTGGTTAATAGTGTTTAGTGCACATCAAAACGTAAAAGGGTAAAATGAGGGTAGTTATTATCAAACATGGACATATCTTTTCTTGTTTCAAACTTGTAATTCTAGAGCATAATTTATACATTTTTCTTTTATACTAGTATGAGGCCTAATGCTTGAACCAAAACTATGTTTTATATTTAATTTTTATTGGATGATAAAGCATTGCAGCTTGAGTATTTGTTATTTTATGCCGGCCTCAAGAGGTTGTTGTTTTTAAAATTACATTCACAGAATGTCTTCTTACTAGTCATTTGTAACAAAATGTTTGAAAACCTCTGGCAGAGTATTTTAATGTTCACTAATGAGTCAGAATGTGTGCCATAATAGCAGCATTCTATAAACAAGAATAGTATTAATATTAACTAGCAGTAGAAGGTAATAAGTTAATGGCTTATAATGTGACTTGCTTTCTAGTTGTGTGATTAAATAGTCTTGCAGTAAAGGCTGGTGAAAGAAACCTTTCTTTAACCTATGCCACAAATTGAACTTATATACATTGCAATTTTCTAGTTTCTTACACTGTGTAAAATATGTTTCAGCCAGTAGCGCTGATGACACTAGAGGCTTTGTGTGTGTGTTTGTATATTGGTGCTGTATTAACAAAACTGACTCAACAGATTAGAACCTGACCCTTCTTTTAATGGGAAAAACAATTTAGTACTATTATATTTCACTTCTGCAGAACGTTTGTTTTCATTGATTATTGGAGAGAACTTGCACTAGTCCCTACTGGTGCCCCCCCCCCCCTTTTTTTTTCTTTCTTTAAACCATAAGTCATAAACAGTAGTTAACAAAACAGAAACAGTAGTAAACAGCTGTGACATTTTAAACATGAAACAATTTCCATAAAACTTTTCATTGAAGGTCACCATTTTCATCCCAGCTTGGCTGTTCACATTACTACTGGACATGCCTGTGATATAATTTAAGTAACAGGAGAACACTTCAGTCTATTTGCTATTGATGTATATACATATATAGAGAGAGCTTGTTTATTATTTAATGGTCATGTGTATTAATATCACATGTTGACACGTTTCAGTTTAAAGTCAGTCACAAAGTATTACATAATGAAAGAGAGAATGCCACATGTTTTGTGATATATGCAAGATATATATTTTTGTATGCTTCTCAATATTCCACTGCTGTGTTTATTGTTTAAATATATTAAATATATAGATATGCCTGTACAAAGCTGATTGGAATATGTAAAAGATATGCATTTTCTGTTCATACAATCAAATCAATTTACAAAGAAAATTGATTGGTTTAGCCGTTCTTTACAAATCCTTGTGAATTATTTTACTCAAATTTTCACTCAGCATTCAATGGTGTGAGTCCCTGTCAACTCAGTTGTTATCGATTTAGTAGAGAGAAAAATGCAGGCCAGTGATCTTTGTATTGTCCAGTTGAAGCCATGGCCACATAATTTACGAGACTTGTGCTAAAAATGTATTTAAATGTATGCTTTTAGATCATTCCCAGGTGTTGAAAACACTGTATTTAGTTTGACTTAGTATGATGCAAATATACATTTGCCTAAACTTAAAATCACATTTGTATATATGGAGATTGTTTTACAGGAATACTTAGTGTACTAAGAGAACAAATCTTGGTCAAGAAATAATTGATATAACTATATTTAATTTGGAAGAAGGGAGATTACTCTACAGACAAAGTATTCAGAGTTACACATCATTACATTTTGTTTAAGACTTACCACAAACATTGTTTTCAATCTGTTTTTATTTTGATTTTTTTTTTTTTTTTTTTCAAAGAACTACCTTTAAACTTATTGATAAATATTGTCCAGCCTATAGACAATGGTTAATGAAGTGATAAAATGGTAATGTGCCCATATTTCTACGGTCAAAAAAAAAAGTGTTTTTTTTTTAATCCTGTGTATGTGTACATGAAATAGGTCATTCTAGAAGTTGACCTAGATACTGAATGCTCACACTGCTGAACTAAATTCACTTTCCCATTGTATGTGACTCTGTGCTGGAGACTTCCAGAAGCCCTTGTGAAGAGGAACTGGGTTGTTCAAGAAACCTAGAAACAGGAGATGATATAGCCGAGAGTGTTGGTGGTGTGAATAGGGGGGGGGGGGGGGTAAGTCATTTCTTTTCTTTCCCCCAAAACAAACTAATACATCTGTAATTATAAGTGAATATGGAATACGACTACTATATGGAAAGTAGGTCAGGCAATGAAGATAAATATAAAATGATAGTGAAATGTGACTCAGACCTCCACCCATTAGTTTAATGCTGAGAGTAGAGAGCTTCGGAGAGTTTCTCCACTCTTTAATTTTTCAATTAGACACATTTAAAGATTTTTAGATACCCTTGGACACACTCAAAGAAACACTTAAACATACCCTAAGACACATGCAAGTTTATCTAAGAAACCATTGAACCTCTCCCCTCTGATATGGCTTGTAATTTTAACGTTGGACAGATAATAATAGGACTCAATGTCTTCTCACAGAAATACTTTGTTTAAAGTTTTCCAAATGACATTCTTCCTATTCTTATGCATGAACTATTTGAAGTCACTTTTCATATTTTGAACTCAATGTTTGGGATAATTTTTAATTGTTGGTTTTGTTTCACTTTCTACAAATGTGTGTCTACAACATTTTATATAATAACCTTTTACTTGTGTCATTTTTTTTTTTGAGATCTCTGTCACGTGTCCTTGTTTTACACATAAACATTTTACCATCACAGACTGGACTTTTTGTTTTCTTTATTAGTTTCTTTATCTATTGGATTAAGCGATGATTCGATTGGTTCATAAGTACTATCACCTGTATCTGATGAATTTAAAAACGTTGGCACTTCCGGACTTTCTGTTCATGTAACTTGAAGATTAAACAAAAATTCTTTTAAAAAATGATCGCAAATATATATTGTACAATTTCAGGAAGCATATAGTTCGTCCATCGTGGTTTGAGATGACCACTTTTGTGGGCTTTGCACTGGGGTTTTGTGCCTCCTCATGTGGCTGGTGAGACCTATGTGAGCCCGGAATGTTCGGCTGCACACTGGGCAGGTTATTCCAGCTGGAGCTAGTGTCATTGGCCTTGCATTTCTTCTCTGGCTTTTTTTTCTTCGTTGTTCTCTTTTCCTCAGCAACCTGTGCGCTAGTTTTCACGCCATGATGCTGTCTCACGTGCCTCTGTCTCCCAGGTGGCTGGGTCTATGCTGGACGCCTTCAGAGAAGCTTTGAGGGTGTCCTTGAAGCGTTTTCTTTGTCCACATTGTGAGCGCTTTCCTTTCCTTAATTGGCCATACAGGAGTCGTTTAGGGATGCGGCGGTCTTCCATTATGCAGACGTGTTCTGCCCATCGCAGCTGGGACTGCATCAGGATTGCGTGGATGCTTTGCAGACCCGCTCTTCGAAGGACTTCAGTATCTGGTATTTCAGGAAGCAACACAACAATGGGAAACAATAACACGTTTTATTCCAAGTAAATAAAAAAAACAACAACATTACTACTTCCGTCTCAGCTGCCCTACTTTTTCATGTCCCTTGATTTCTGTCGTAGGGGTGTGGTGTGACTTTGCGAAACGAAATCCCTCCACTTTCCCCGGTCAGCAGCATTTTATAGTCCAATATTAAGAGAAAGGCCGGTCCATTCTTCACGCTATCCAGCCAACTTTTGTTTGGACCACCCTTTCTTCGTGCGCCCTACACACTACCTTGAATGACCGCTTTTGATAGTTATCTATAATATAAAGCAGAAAGTAAGGCTTATGTGTGTATGTATGACCCGAATAAAAATCAAAACCATTTGACCAATCTTGATAAAACTTGGCATACATGTTCCTTAGATCATGGCGCAGACCAAAGTCTATGTTTAATGTCCCTTCCACAATCGGAGGGCCCTAAAAATAGACAAAAAGCACCTAATGGTAACTCGTTAAAGAACGAAACTTTTTACCATAGTGGGTAAACCAATTTTCCCACTCTACTTTTATCTTCGAGGTAAATTAAAAACAAATGTGATGGCAACATTCGCCAATTGACAGATCTAAATTCAATGCAATAGATCAGTAATATTTGAATTACGCCCGCATGCCACGGGTCATATTAGGCTAGTGTCTTATAATGTCTCTTCACAGTCCATCCATAGTTGAATAGTGCGCTCGAGGGCACCATTAGCGCAGGTGCAGGGCATACGTACAAAAATATTATATACATTATTAAATCAGACAAACACATACAAAGGAAAGTCACAAAAGACATGGAAATGGACAACCTAATAGCATAAAAAAAGATGATCTCTTTGAACTGTTGAAAGGGTCCTACAGAAATGACGCTGATCACTAGGGATGACCCTACTCGTCAAGGCCTTGAGAAAGAAATGCATTCTAAATTTATTTAACGCATACAACAAATAGAATAGTACATGTACATTTGTTTGCTCATTATTGCGATGTTGTTAAAATCTAATGTATCAAAATTAATTTCAGACCCTACGATCAAAACTGGTAAGCCCTTACATTAAAAAATATATTTTAAACAAAGGGAATTAATTTGAAAATGCCAACCTAATCAATGATGAATAACCAAATTGTCTTCCTTTATTTATAAACCAATATAGAAGATACCTTGATTAAGTTTGACTTTTTCTTCGCTTCCGCTACGTGTTGTGCACTTAAAGTTTTGCGGACGTGGAGTAAGGGAAATTCATATTTATTTACGAACTAAAGAACGAGGAAATGCGAATGCGTAAATATTCTTCAGGAAACGTGTTGATGCATTGAATCATGGAACTATGCTTATTGAATCAACATGGATCGACCCTGAACTCTGGGTACTTCGATATAATAATAATAAAAGGCTGTCTTCGAGTCCGAAGATTAATAAAGTATTTCCAGTGGATACGCCGCCCCTGCTCTGACCTACATATTTCTAAAATGCTGTATTGCCTCCAAACTGCGCAAAGTATTTTTAAAGATATAACTGGCTCGCGCAGGCCAATACCACTCTTTACACTAAATGCAGTCTACAGTGGCGCAGAAGTCTGAGACGGCTGTGAAATACATATATTTCCATCTCCTAGACTGGCTGCTGCGAAGGTTATGGAGCCCAGTACTGCCCAAAGGCCGAATTCCTGTACAGAGACAAAACAACCAAAGATTCCAGCGGCTACCCTTTTTTGATCTAAACAACTTGGTGGCACCATGTCAAAACTATCGTCCAATGTGGCATAGTGCCTGAATGGATGCTGCAGAGCATGACCTATATCTGAATGGAAGGAATCGAGAGAAGCAGCTGCCACTTATCACCTTTTTCTTCATTCGAATCTGTAAATCTAGATTCTAGGTGGAAACCAAATAATTTGTTTCATATTGAAAAATTAATAGTGTAGTGGTGACCAGATCCGACAGTTCTATGAAGACGTTGTCTTTGGTTGGGTACTGACAGAGCAATGGGGAAAGACAGTTCTATGAAGACGTTGTCTTTGGTTGGGTACTGACAGAGCAATGGGGAAAGACAGTTCTATGAAGACGTTGTCTTTGGTTGGGTACTGACAGAGCAATGGGGAAAGACAGTTCTATGAAGACGTTGTCTTTGGTTGGGTACTGACAGAGCAATGGGGAAAGGATGGGCCACAAACGATTGCTCCTTTTCACAACACACACACACAACAGTAATAATGGGCATAAATTCATAATTTTTGTGGAGAACGTGCACGCTATTGAAGATTTTCATACATCGAGGCAAATTCACATATAGCAAGCTTTTTGATGTATACGGTATACAGAATGATAAGCTTTTTGATGTATCCGGTGTACAGAATGACACGCTTTTTGATGTATACGGTGTACAGAATGACACGCTTTTTGATGTATACGGTGTACAGAATGACACGCTTTTTGGTGTATCCGGTATACAGAATGACAAGCTTTTTGGTGTATCCGGTGTACAGAATGACAAGCTTTTTGGTGTATCCGGTGTACAGAAGACGGAAATATTAATATTAAGGAAAGTATTTTAAAATCATGTAATATGTGGCATATTTGTGCACTTTTCAGCACGGCATTCGCAAATTTGAAAACTCTTTCGCTAGTTCCACAAAGTAATGTTAATTATTTACTTGGCAACAGATTTTTTTTTTAAATGGCGTCTTTGAAATTGTTTATTTTGTCTATTTATTTAAGAATTTCTTCCTTTCTCTAGTCATTTTCTTACGCTTTGCTTTAGGAGTTATTATATCGCCACTACATTTCTTCATACCTCTTTCTCTTGTTTTTCTCTCTTACTGTATTTGATTTGATTGCATTAAGCAATGTAAACCGGATGCTAGAAATTGAAATTTAAACAAAGGGCAGAAAGTTAAAATTTATACAATAATAATCTTCAATCTGTAAATAATAATCGAATCGAAAGAAATCTCAACACTGCTCTTTGCAACATGGACAAAAACGAAGTTCATCTAAAGCGAAATATTCTTACACGTTTTTTTTTTGTTTTGTTCAGTTTTTTTCTTGTTCAAAAGCCTCAGAACTTCTGAAACAAGGACCTGTTAAGCTTTTTATGTTTTTTTTTTTTTTTTAAAGATCCGCTAGATTCAGTGGGCCCAAACATTTCGTCTCGTAGATCCCTTGGACATTGTCGTACACCCATGAGGACCACTTTGGGAATCACGGGGCTAGATGATTCAGACTCGAATGTCCCCATCTTGATTCGCATAATGCTGACAATGGCGGTAAGTGTGGCTACATGCGAAACTAAAGCTGATCAAGAATTAATTGAGACCAACACATTTACGACTCACTAATTTCTGATTCTGTCCAATTAACAAGAGCTGGTGGAAAGATGATTTGGATCAAAATTATTGATAGTTTTGTTAGCAAGAAAGCACGTCATTTATTAGTCGTCTCACATTTTGTATGTGTGAATGTTGTTTGCATGTCTTCTATCTTTTATTGTTTTTGTTCTAGTAGTTAGGCTTGAGCTGGACAATTTGTAGTCAAACTGAATTTCTATTGTTGGGACCAATCAAATTATCTTATTATAAACAATGAATACACAATATTTAAAACCCCCTCCTTTTTGTTGTTTTGTTTTATACAAAACTTATATCAACTCACTCTGTCTGTCTGTCTTTCTGTTTGCCTGTCTCGTAAAACGTTTGAACATGTTTTTTCTTCAATTTCTTATTCACGGATCAAGTTGAAACTTTCCACAATTATTCATTGAACCTGACAAGACACGAATCAATAAAAAAAAAACAATTAGCTAATTAATTTTTGTGATTAATTATTTTGTTTGACATCGAAATAAGGGGAATAAATGCTACTTGATGAGAGATGTGGATGTATGGATTTACTCCTCTGATTACGTTTTGACACGTTAATCCTCCCACTTCCCATTCTCGGTTCAAGCTGAGCATGTTCATGATAATTCATAGTTGGTGACAATACAAGAATCAATCCAAAAATTAACCAATTAGTTAATCAATTAGAACTAATTAATTAATTATGTTTTGTATAAAGCAGAAAGGGAGCTAAACACTGCCATTTTCAGATACATTTTCAGATAAATGGCAGTAATTAGCGTTTCTTTCTTTAGATAAGGTATGTTTTTATAAAGTAATCTTTTTTCTTTTGAAGGGCATCATTAGAAGCTACCGCAATCGGCATAAAAAAACTTAAGGTTTTTCCTCTGGGTACTGGCTAGTTATGTACAATCTTTTTATTGCTTATGTATTTAA